GAAGAGAACACCCACAGAGTGGGAGAAAATATTTGCCAGCTACACATCAGACAAAGGACTGATAACTAGAATATACAGGGAACTTAAAAAACTAAATTCTCCCAAACTTAATGACCCAATAAAGAAATGGCCAAGTAAACTAAACAGAACTTTCTCAAAAGAAGAAATTCAAATGGCCAAAACACACATGAAAAAATGCTCACCATCTCTAGCATTAAAGGAAATGCAAATTAAAACCACACCAAGATTCCACCTCACCTCTGTTAGAATAGCCATCATTAGCAACACCACTAACAACAGGTGTTGGTGTGGATTCAGGGAAAAGGAACCCTCCTACACTGCTGGTGGAATGTAACCTAGTACAACCACTCTCGAAAAAAAAATTGGAGGCTACTTAAAAAGCTAAACATTGATCTACCATATGATCCAGCAATACCACTCTTGGGGATATACCCAAAAGGTTACTCCAGAGGCACCTGCACACCCATGTTTATTGCAGCACTATTCACAATAGCCAAGTTATGGAAACAGCCAAGATACCCCAGCACTGACGAATAGATAATGTGGAAAATGTGGTATTTATACACAATGGAATTTTATGCAGCCATGAAGAACGAAATGTTATCATTCACAGGTAAATGGATGGAATTGGAGAACATCATTCTGAGTGAGGTTAGCCTGGCCCAAAAGACCAAAAATCGTATGTTCTCCCTAATATGTGGACATTAGATCAAGGGCAAACACAACAACGGGATTGGACTTTGAGCACATGATAAAAGTGAGAGCACACAAGGGAGGGGTGAGGATAGGTAAGACACCTAAAAAACTAGATAGCATTTGTTGCCCTCAACACAGAGAAACTAAAGCAGATACTTTAAAGCAACTGAGGCGAATAGGAGAAGGGAACCAGGAACTAGAGAAAAGGTTAGTTCAAGAATTTTAACTTAGAAGGTAACACACATGCACAGGAAATCAATGCGAGTCAACTCCCTGTATAGCTATCCTTCTCTCAACTAGCAAAAACCCTTGGTCCTTCCTATTATTGGGGGGTAAGGGAGGGGGTGGGGGATGGGGGGAGAAATGACCCAAATATTGTATGCACATATAAATAAAATTAAAATTTTTTTAAATACTAGTGTTGAAAGGCTTGTAACAAAAACCACCCCCTGACCTACTCAAATCTGTCAAGCAAACAGTCTAAAAGCAACCATTATTTCTTGTGATTATTACCTGCCTATTTTCAATTATCTTTTTCTTGATTTATCTATTTTAGACATTAGCTAGTATTTTTTATGATAAATGTAGCTTTCTTACACCTCCCAATCCCCATCCTCTAACTTCTCAAAGTAAGTATTCTTAAGTATTTACATCGTTAATACTGGGGTATAATTGAGTCAGTAAACACCACCTCACTATTCACTAAGCAAGTTCAGAACCAAGTGAGAGAGAACAGGAAGTTAATAACAGATTAACAGGTCATCATTAACAGAGCATTTAATATGATTTAAGTAATTCTGCACCCCTCAGAGTCAACTTACCTGCCCAGTCACAAGCTGCTCTGAACAACTACAGGCTCCCCAGAAGCAGAGCCTGCTGTGCTAAGCTTGCTGAACAGAAAGAGAGCAGACCAGAATGTGCCCTTGCTGTAAACAAACGGACCTGAAGAGGGGACAAAGGGCTGTGTCTCCCCTGCCCAGTGTCTTCTCCTAAACTCATCAGGAAGACCAGTCCCTTTGCCTCTCTCAGGGAGATTTGGAAGATGATCAGATAGAGCCCCGATGTGTTGCTTTAATGGAAGTGTAAGCTCTTCCACAAAAAAGTGTGGGAAGTGGAGAGTAATATCTCTCCCCAACATTTAAGACAAAGTCTGCTGGTTTCAAAGCTAAGTACTCTATTTCCCTTCTCGCTATAGCTTTTGTTTTTGCTTCAAATAAAATTTGTTTTTTTTTGCTTAAGTGGTGTCGATCACAGCCTCAATAAAGTAACTGGTTATTCTCCTGGCACCATTCACAGCTGTTATCTTAGAACTCCTGTTTGATATTCCTCAGTTTCCTGGAATAAAATCCTTTCTCTTTCTTTTTTATTTCCTTGTTTGGAACATTACTTAGATGATTATCTAAGAAAAGATGAATGAGGGCTGGAGGAGTGGCTCAAGCAGTAAAGCACTTGCCTAGCAAGCATGAGGCTCTGAGTTCAAAACCCAATGCCACAAAAAAAAAAAAGACAAAAGAAAGATAAGTGCTGTAAGTATCTGAATGTCTAACATGTCCCTATTGTGTTCCCTCACTTGATAAATAATTTAGTTGTGTTCACAATGCTAGTTTGGGACTCTCTGAGAAACACACAAAAGCATTGCTCCCGTCTTCCAGAATGCAGTTTGGAATCTCATTTCTTTCTATGTGACCAATTTTTTGTTGTTGTTTTTCTGAGACAGAGTCTTACTACGTAGCCCAAGCTGGCCTCAAACTAGCAAGATGAGCCTCCTGAGTGCTGATTATATATAACCTGGTTTTTTTTTGTTGTTTTTTGTATACGTCTCTTATTTCTCTTCACCGAACTCTGAGCTTTCACAATTTCCATTTTCTCTTTGTTCATTAAGTTAGAGATTTAAATTTGTTGGATTTTAAATTCTTAACTCTCAGGCTTTTACTTTGTCTCTGTCTTTTCATGCAAGAATTGTCAGAGTTTACACAACAATCCACCTACACCTCAGTTTCAGTTGCAAGAGGGAGAACTGTGTATCGCAGAAAGGATAGGAGACAGGCATTTCTCCTAGTTGGACAACCAAGAATCCTATCGCAGTTGCCCCAGCAGAATCCTTTGCAACACCTTATTTAATCTCTGTTGACGTGGGGAGTAAGTTTCCTTGAGACCCACTGGCCGGCATCCAGGCAAGTGTCAAGAAGGTCCAGATGCCTTCATTTTCCTTCTGGAAGACACTGAGCCCAGAGTCTGCAGCCTCCCTCCACTGTGGGCAATTATGCCAGGTATTCAGTCACCTTGGAAATTTAGATCCCTCAGGTATCACTGTTTTTCAGACTTCCCATATTGCACTGGCTATTAGTTTTAAGAACAGTATGACTGTACACACTTACCAAAATTAAGTGAAATGGCAAACATGCTAACAGAGATAAGGCCTTGAAATTGCCTCTGAAATTTTTCTGTTATAAAAAAATGCCATTTCTTCCTATAGTAGCTTTTTTTTTCCCCCTTTGGTGAGATTGGAGTTTGAACTCTGGGCTTCATACTTACAAAGCCGACACTCTACCACTTCAGCCACACCTCCAGTCCATTTTGCTCTGGTTATTTTTGAAGATAGGGTCTCTCGAACTATTTTCCTGGGCTGGCTTCAAACCTCAATCCTCCCATCTCAGCTTCCCAAATAGCTAGGATTATAGGCATCTGGCTTTTCCTGCAGCTCTTAAGCCTTGCTCTTCATTGTACTTATTTTTCTGGATATGTTACCATCACCAAACTTGTTTTATGTACATTCAAATACATCAAGATATCTGAAGATAACTAACTGTAATTGTTGAATATTTGTGCAGTTTAGATAATTTGCCTGATTTTTTTTTTTTTGGTGGTACTGGGGTTTATTTATTTATTTATTTTGGCTGCACTAAGGTTTGAATTCAGGGCCTCATGCTTGCGAGGCAGGCCTTTACCACTTGAGCCACTCTGCTAGCTATTTTTAATTTAATTTAATTTATTTATTTGGTACTGGGGTTTGAACTCAGGGCCTCACTCTTACTAGGCAGGCCTCTACCACTTGAGCCACTCCACCAGTCATTTTTTTGTGTTGGGTATTTTCAAGATGGAATCTTGCAAACTATTTGGCCTTGCTGACCTCAAACCTCTATTCTCTGATCTATCTAAAGTCTTAAAAGTCTACACTCCATTATAATAAGGTTATAGTAGTTTAACCTTAGAAAATAATCAGACTATTCTGAATTTTTTTATTAAGCCATTTATCTCAGCATTGTTTATAATAGTTGCAACAGTTAAGATTAGTTGCAAGGACAGGTACAAAGATGTGGATCTTTTTGTAGAAGTGAAAAATAGAACCAGAAATGGAAAATTAGTAGAAATTGAGGTAACTTGGTTCAAGCATGGTAGATCATATCTGTAATCCCAGCTTTATGGAAGGCATAGGTAGGAGGATCACAGCCTGAGACCAGCCCAGGCAAAAGTGCAAGGCTCTATTTTAAAAAACTCAAGTAAAAAGGACTGAGAACATGGCTCAAGCAGTATATAGTGCCTGCCTAATTAGAATGAGGTCTTGAGTTCAAAGAGTTCAAACTCCAGTACCACAAGAGAGAAAGAGAAACAAAGAAACAAAAAAGATGAGCATCTACCCATCTTTTAATAGGCTATGTAATAAATCAGCTATTCTCTCAGTCTCCACCTCTCTCTCTATCTCCGTACTGCTCTATGTGAGTTGGTTTCTTCAACTCACTCAACCATTCTGCTCTGTCATAACTCTTACATAATGCTGAAGGTTGACACAGCAAATCTCAAAGAATTCCTAGTGTCTGCCCTCACTCTTACTCACTTTCTTAATAATACATTCCCCTAAAAAAGGAATGTTGTCCAAGTCAGAATTATATTTGATCCAAGCAGCTGTGGTCATTGTGGCAAACAGCATGGACAAGGTAACATTTCTGGTACCAAGGCACACATAGACACACAAACTCTTGGAAATCACCTAAGTGTCACAATAATAGCAAACTAGAAGAGCAAACTGGCTAACGGCACACGAATAGAAGAAGGAAATTTATACAGTACATTGCAATGTGGAAAACATTAGTTAGATGACCCCAGTGAAGAAGTACAGATGGTAGAATCATAGTTGGTCTTAATTTTCCTCTTGGAGGCTTTGTATTTTCTAAAATTTTTATAATAAACATAGACTTCTTTTATAACCAGAAGAGAGAAGGCACTTGTGTATTTTTTTTTAATTATTTTCACTTCACTTTGTACATAAAAAATATTTAGATTACCTTTCCAGCACCACATTTTGTGCCTTCATTCACCATCCCTGGATCTGGAACATCTGATCCCAGCTGGAAATCCACACCCCAACATGTGGTTCCTCGACTAGGTGACTGAATAATAGCAGGCACAATTCCAAACACAGGCATGCCTTGTACGTTCTCACACTGAAGCTTTCCACACAACGCATTCCTATGAAGCATGAGAGATAATGCAAATATAAAATGTGTCTGGCATATATACAAAAGAAAAATTGTATGGGTCCTGGGTTCAATCTCCAGCACTAAAATAATAAATAAATAAATAAAATACATACATACATACATATATAAATATTATAGTTTGCCTCAATGCCTCTTGGAACAATACCAAAATTCAACCATGGGTTCTTACAGAGTTTCAGTAAGGGAAAAATTATATTCTGCAATGTAAAATAATCAAGAAAGGATTCCACCCCTCCTTGCCTAACCAAGCAAACTCTTAATTTCAGATTTAAAGAATCAATTCTAGTAACTCATTATCTCACAAATTCACTATCAGTACTCCATGAAGATTTCCCTGATTAGTTGTTATTGCTAAGGCTGTGTGATCTACACCCCTCCTATATCCTTTTATAACCTTAAGTACTCCTAACATCATATGGAAATTTTCTATTTGACTGTCATGTGATGCAAACTCTCCTCTGTGACACTGCCAAGTCATCAGAGGGTATTTTTTCACCAACACCTCAAACTCACCACCTCCTCAAACTTCTCATTCTCTCCACCATAACATTCATTTATTATGAGTTAAAATCTACCTCCTCCTAACTTTTCTCTATTGGTCCCAGATCTTCCATAAGAGACCACACAAATAAGGCCTTTATTATTACATGGTTCCTAAATGCTTACTGCACCAGGGAAATACCTTATGATCACTTTCCAGGCAACAAGGAGGCATCTTTCTAATGTGCTCCAGTTTGCCTCACTGCCTCTTGAGGCATAATACTCAGAATTTTGACAAGCAAAGAAAAAAATGCATCTCTCTTTTACTTTATTCTAGATTCTGCACTTCTATTAAGCCCAAGATTAGAGCACCTTTCACAGAAACTCCATTACATTATTGAGGCCCTTGAATTTAATTTTTTCATATGCTGCTATTAAGTCTCTACTTTCCCTCTATCCTACAGTAAGAATTAATAATTTGGCCCAACTTTATATTTATTCTTAGGTTTCCATTTGCTATGTGACCTAAGTAAAATGCTTAAGTTTTCTGTGCTTTAGTTTCTTCATCTGAAAGGAGATCAATAAAAATGCCTATATCATATTAGAAATAGGCAAGAAATACCTAAGTGGCTGAAATTAGGTGTGAAAACCTCTAAAACAAGGCACAGAATAAAATAGACTTCAGGTAATAGCTCTTCAATTCAAACTGCTTTGACACACTCACGGTCTTAGTGGCATATTAAATAGTGCAAAAAAATTTTTAATTTATGAAAAGGTGTTACAAATCATTGAGGAAAACACAATGCACTTTAACAGAAAAATAAAACCCTCTTGTCACTGCCAATTAGCATCATCAATAATAACAGGACAACTGTTACTGAGTACCTCCACAATGTAATGCATTACTTACACTCCTACCAAAATGTTTAACATGAATCTAATTAAGATTTTAGATTTAGCTTCTGTTTTAAAGAAAATTCAGTGGATAGAGTCACAAGCCAAGCATCATAGAGAGGAAGTATCAAACAAAATCCAGAACAAGGACCCACTGGCCTAGCTACTTCTATAGGTTAATGTCATTGAAAAGGAAAAATAAGGCCAAGAGGGATATTGTAGATTGTAAGTGGCTTATGTGACATGCCAAGCAAATGCAATGTATCATCCTTGACTGACTCCTAACATGGAAAAATGTCAGCTGTGAAAGATAATTGAGGACAGTTAGGGAAATATCAACATTGATTAGTTAATAGATGATATTTAAACACAGATAACTTTGTTAGGAGTGATATGATACTATGAATGCCTTAGTGTTGAAGATAAACACTGAAGACATTTGGAGTAGAGTATCATAGTATCTATAACTTCCTTAAAAATGGTCAGCAAAGTCTACACAAAGCAAACATGACAAAACATTAACAATATTTAAATCTAGGATATATGGTGTTCATCATACCATCCTTCCTACTCTTCTATAAACCAAATTTTTACTTTGAAAAAACTTAAGGGACACTGGGTGCAACTTGGTGTACAGTATGTGATTTGCACATGCAAGCTCTGAGCTCAGTCTTCAACACCAAAAACTAATTAGCTAGTAATAAAAATAAGCATCATACGTATGGCTTCCTCAGAGAAAGGGAACATGTAGAACAGAACATGCAGCTTGTGATTATGAATGTACACACACAAAAAGGAAGAAAACTTTAGGGAAATCACATATGGTTACTTCTTTAGACCTCCCCAGTTCTTATACATTTTCTATGATGAGGATGTAATAAAGACAGTGATGGTGAGGATGAGCACTAAAATTAAGCAAGCACTGTTCTTAGAACTAACATCCACTAATTCATTCACTCTTCAAAACAGTACTTGGAAGTAGGTTAAGATTATCCCCTTTTAATAGGAGAGAAAAATGAAGTATGGAGGTGAAGTACTTTGGCCAAAGTGTCAGAGATGTTAAGTGGTTGAACAAGGATTCCAATCCAAGGAGCTTAATTTCAAATGTATTTTAAATAATTATATACCCTTATATTACTATTATGAAATATTTCTCAGCTGGGCTCACACCTGCAATCCTAGCTACACAGGAGGCAGCAATCAGGAGGATCGTGGTTCGAAGCCAGCCCAGGCAAATAGTTCGAAAGACCCTATCTTGAAAATACCTAACACAAAAAGGGCTGGTAGAGTTCTCAAAAGACCTATCCAGTAATTTATAAGTTAAATGAGTGTAGTTTCTACATTTTCAACAAGGTAGTCATAAAACTATGAAACCAAAAAGAACTAAAAATAAGCCAGGCATGGTATAATCCCAGTGCGTGAGGTTGAGGCAAGAGATTCCCAAGGTTAAGGCCCTGGGCTACATAGTGAGACCCAGTCTCAAAAACAAACAAAAAAACCCAAAACAACAAAAAAACCCTAAAGATGTGGTCTGTTCGCCAAGCTGCCTTCAAGTCCACCTTAATCCACTCACCGCTAGGTTTTAGTTCAGTTCATTCCATCAGTGGTACTAATTCTCTACCCATTCATTCTTCACTCATACTATCTGTACCTCCATTCATTCATTCATTCATTCAACAAACTATGTTCTAGATCTGATGCTAAATACAACAAATGTCATCGGGCCTTACAGTTTAGTGAGGGAAGGTGATAAGCAAGTAGTCACATAAAGAAATGAAACTGTGGCAAATTCCACAAAGGAATATTCCAGAAATAAAGATGAAAATTTGGTAGTAATAAAAGGGTCAATTCCTTCAGAAGTCATAATCCTAAATGTGATGCACTTAATAGAAAATTCAAAACATATACACCAAAAACTTACAGGACTAAAAAGAAAACAAATTCACAGTCACAGCCGAAGAGTCTAATAAATCTCCCTTAGAAACTGAGCAAACAAAAAGATAAAACACCCTCAAAAAGATCTGAAAAATTTGGCTCTTCATTATCTTGACATTTATAGAACAATATATTTAACAACTGAAGAAGGCACTTTGTTTTTTGAACTGCACATGGAACATTTACCCAAATAAACCATACCCTGGTTCCTAAGAGCTAAAATCATAAACATTGTGTTCGTAACAGAATTAAACAGAGATCAAAACCAGACATATAACCAATTATTTGGAAATTAAGCAATACACTTTCAATAACCCATGAGTCAAAAAGAAATCATGCAAACGAGGAATCATGAGCTGAACAATAATGAAAATACAACATACCAAATTCTGTGAAAAAAAAGCCACATTGCATTAAGAATACCTGGAAGAGGGATATCTGACCCTGTTAAGGAGTGGAGGGAGTGTTCCTTAGGAAATCATACTTGAGGTAAGACTTGGAGGATAAACAGAATTAACCAGGATAAAACAAACAGCATGTGCAGAGTCCCGTGGCAGAAGGCCACATGTAGGCAGATATGGTTGAAGCACCTCACAGAGGTGGCAAATAAAGCCACAGAAGTAAATAAAACCACATTGGGAGGAGGAGGAGATAAAGAAGGGCATTCAACACAAAGCCAGCAAAAGAAGTTTCTTCAAGAAGGAGAAAAATAGTCAATATCATTGGACAAGGTCAAGTAGTATGAAGTCCTAAAATGTCTGTTGGATTTGTGATATGGAAGACACGGCTGCTATTCCTGCGTCTCACTATAAGCTGCCTAGCCTAACTGGTGGCTAAGGAGGGTAAAAGAACGTACAATATTACAGAGTAATTCCCATGTGCAAAGTGTCATTGTATTTGCAGAGTACAAAAACAAAAAGGGAGAAATACATTGAAATCAATGAATTTATACAGATTGAAATAATGGATGACTTTGTTTGTACTTTTGCATTATTAACTTTCTTACAATAAGAAAGTGCTAATTATAAAATTAAGGAATGTTTTAATTAGTCATTTTTAAATTGTACAGAGCTAGAAGAAAACAATGGAAGTCCGAATTAATTCTGCAGGTGCCCTTTAACTTGGGACTTAGGTAACAGACTTATTGGAAGGAAAATAGAAAGGGCATTTAGTTGGGAATCTTATTGTAGGTGGAGGGTGGCAAATTAAGATTCTACAACCCACTAGACTTGAGAAAGCTGGTATGAAAAGGGAGGAGCCATTTTATCAATTTTGTGCCTAACATGAGAGTCTCTGAAGCCTTGTATGGTAAGTTGTTAGGTTTGAAAAGTTACGTATTTGAAGGGGGAGAGAGGCAGCAATCACAGAGGCAGTTACAAAAGATAGAGATGTGCCTGGTCTTACAATCTCACATCCTCTGTCACCTCACCTCCACTTACCCAGTAGCACACTTCTTGTATTCATTGCCAGAGAAACCACAATTGCCAAATCTGTCACCTTTAGAATTCACGTCAATGAAACAATCTCTTGGGGCAGCCTTGGCTTCTGTAACATTAAACATTTAAAAGAGAAAAATAGTTATGGCAATTTAACTCAGAAATAAAAGTATTCTCTATGACACTCCATATACCTGGAAAACTACCTCCCCACACCTCTGAAAAAATATTTCTTACATTAAAAAAAAAAATTAAGTTAAGGCTTAGACTGCCCTTGAAAGCCTGGACTCAGACACTTGGGCCCTATAACAAATATCATTTTCCCCCAAAAAAAGAAATCCAAACTTTCCAGCAAAATTAATGTTTGGGGCTGATGAAGTGGTTCAAGTGGTACAGCACTTGCCTTGAAAGCATGAGGCCCTAGTTCAAACTCCAATACTACCAAAAAAAAAAAAAAAAGCGAACAAAAAAATTCAAACTTTTCAACAAATATCGTTCAATGAGAACTACAAGTGAAGCCCTGCCCAGCGTGCACTGTTGTCAGTGCAGTCATCCTCACTGCTCTCACACAGACATCTGAAGACTGAAGAACTGGCAAAATTCTCCCAGCTATCTCATTTTCCATTCACTATATATGATGCTTACTTTAGATATCCCTACTAACAGATGGACAGACAGACACCTACCACAGACAGATGACAAAGAATCGATTCACTCTTGGTTTAAGCTTTTTGTCACTTAATACTCAATTTTTCCACTTAATTATACCTACCTAGAAATGTTTCATTTGGGAGTATTTTCAAGTCAAAATGCCAGTACTGTGCTGTTTTAGTTTTAAAGAGAATGAATGTGGGATGAAAAGACATATAGCACAAGGAGAGAGAGTGTAAGAGAGACAGAGAATCAAACTAGATGAAAAATTAATGTAGAAAAACTTCTGCTATTTATCATTATCCCAGCCATTCCCAAGGGATTTATGGCCTCTTACCAGGCAACTGTGTATATGAACTGAATATGCAATATTTGTATATTTCATAAGTCATATGTTGAAACCCTAAACTCCAATGTGAAAGGGTCTGGAAATGGGCCTTTTAGGAGAGTTAGATAAGGTCATGAGAATAGGGCCTTTGTTACAGAATTAGCGAACTTAAAAAAATACAAGAGTCAGATTTGTTTTTCACCACCATTTGAGGACACAGGTAGGAAGTGACCATCTACAAGCCAAGAAGAAAGCCATCACCAGGAACCTTGACCTTGGGCTTCCCAACCTCCAGAACTGTAAGAAATAAATGTTTGTTGTTTAAGCTGCCACTCTATGGTATCTTGTTATACCAGCCTGCCAAGATTTGAATGTTTGTCCTTTCCAAAACTCATGTTGAGGGCTGGCAGAGTGGCACAAGTGGTAGAGTGTCTGCCTAGCAAGCATGAGGCCCTGAGTTCAAACCTCAGTACCACCAAAGGAAAAGAAAACTCATGTTTTCTTTTTTGGAAACTTAAAGATCAAAAGTGATAGGCCATGGGGACTCTGTCCAGGTGATGGAACTAATGCCATTATGAAAGGGAAGTGGCCCATTTATCTCTTGCCCTTCTGCCTTCTATCATGTGATAACACAGCAAGGACGCCCTCATCACATGATCATGCTAGCACCTTGATCTTAGACTTCTCAACCTCCAAAAACAGTAAGCCAATAAATTTCTTCTCTTTATAAATTACAATTCTGGTACATTATTATAGTTTCAACAAAACAGACCAAGATTTGGACAGAATCAACCAGACGAAGATACTGTACAAAGAAAATAATCAGACTTTGGCAACATGGCACACAAATTTCAGCAGACCCAAAATGTCACTGTGGCCCTACAAAAGTCTGATGATTAATGAAGTTTAGCTCAGGTCTTTTGCACAGTAGGCCCAGTAAGTCCTGGAACCCTTCTTATGGGTTGTTGTTTTCATACTTCCAGAATGCATAATTGGAATACTTACTCAGCAGCTGACAGAATTCCCTCATTGGTTCCCTGATCTGCAAAGTGAGGGCAATTATGTGAGGAAAGCTAGGTGGAAGCCTCTAGAATGCTTCTACTTTGTAAAACAGTAAACCAAAAGCAGTACCACATTACTGGAGGGATGGAAGGGATCAGTGTCACCATCAAGGACTTGAAAGATGCATGGGTATTGACTCTCATCACATTTCCATAACTTGCCTACTTGCAGAAGACAAGTGGTTCTTGGAGAATGAAAGTGGATTACCAAAGCTTAACTAGTGATGATGATTCCAACTGCAGCTGCTGTACCAGATATGGTTAACTGCTTGAGCAAATTCATATGTTTCCTGATATGTGGCCAATCTTGCAAATTCCTTTTTCCTTATATTTGTCTACAGGACAATCAGAAGCAAGTTGCTTTCACGTGTCAAGGCTAGCCATACACTTTAGTGTCTTACCTCAGGAGTATGTCAACTCCAGCCTAATGTCACAATTTAGTTTGAGGGCTTTTGATTGACACTTCCTTGCACAAAATATCACACTAGTCCAATACATTGAAAATGTGCTCGTAAGACCTAGTGGGAAAGAAGGAGCAATCACTCTAAATATAGATAAGACATTTGTATGACAGAGGGAAAGAAATAAATTCAGTAAGAATTCAGGAATCTTCTACCTCACTAACATTTCTAGAGTATCAGGTGCGACACAGTAATCCTTCTAAGATGTAGGATAAGGTGTTGTATCTGGCTACCCCACAACCAGGACAAACTGCCTAATGGTCATTAGATTTTGAAGGCAATATAGAGTCATATGCCACACAATGATGTTTCAGTCAACAGCAGACCAAATGCACAATAATAGTCCAATAAGATCACTGAGTGATGTCATAGCAGTCTCAGTTTGTGTAAATACACCCCATGATACCTGCCTAACAGTAGCCACCAAGTTACTATTGAACTTAAACTGCCCATCATAAATTGAGTGTCATTTGACCCACCAAGCCATGAAGCTAGGCTCACACAGCATCTAGAAATGGAGATGCATATAAATGATTAGACCCAAGCAGGCCCCAAAAGCACAAGTGAGTTACATGAAGAAGTGACCCAAATGCCCACAGTCCTCCCCTGCCAAACAGCATTCTCTCTCCTAGCCAGCACCTACGACCTCAAGGTGAATTCTCTACCATGAGCTGACAGAGAAAAATTAGAGTTAGAATGAGGTGTTTTACAGATGGTTTTTAACAACATGCAGGTACCACTCAAAATCAGATAGCTATACCACTACAGCCACTTTCTAGGACAGTCTTCACATGCACTTGGTTTTTCACTTTGTTTGGAGGGACAGATGGACAGACGTGATTATATACTAATTGATGGTCTGTGGCCAATTGTTTTGATGATAGGATGATCCATTCTGTGGACTGCAGGAAGCCTTTTTCCCCAACCACCCCTGTAATGACCCAAAGGGCTTATAAACACAGTACCAATGGTGGTAGAGTTAGAGGCTATTGATCTATTGATGGGCTCAGAATCATGAGCATGCACTCAAACATGAACATACACTCAACAAGTGATGTGGCTACTGCCACTGCTAAGTGCCCAATCTGCTGGCAGCAGAAAACAACGCTGAGTTACTAATATGATACCATTTCCTGGGGTAATCAGTCAGATTACACTATTCCATTTCTATAGGAATAGTGTTTTATTCTTACTGAAACAGATACTTAACCCTGGATATGAATTTGCTGTCTTTACATACAATGCTTCTGCAAAACTACCATCTGTGGACCTACAGAATTCCTTACCGCCATCATGGTATTCCACACAACATTGCTCCTGATCAACAAACTCAATTCACAGCAAAAGAAGTGAGGTGATGGGATCACGTTCATAGAATTCATTGTTTTACTGTGTTTCCCACCATCCTGAAGAAGGTGGCTTACTGGAATGGTAGAAATGCCTTCAGAAGACTCAGTTACAGTGACAAATAGATGGCAATTCCTTGATGGGCTGGGGCAAGGTTTTCCAAAGGGATATATATGCCCTGAGTCAGGGTGATGCTGAAACTTTTCCCATAACTGGAATTCAGTATATAAAAATCAAGGGTTGAAATGGAATTAGCAAAACTTGCCATTACCCCTAGTAACCCACTAGCAAATATTTGCTTCCTGTTCTATGATTTTATGACCTGCCAGCTTAGAGGTCTTACTTTCAAAGGGAGAGATTCTTCCATCAGAAACCACAACAATGATTCTAGCAAACTGGGAGTTAAGCCAGTTTTTTAGTTCCCTGTAGATTCTGGGTATTAGTCCCTTATTGGAAGAATAGCTATCGAAGATTTTTTTCCCATTCTGTGGGCAGTCTCTTAAGTCTAGTGACTGTTCATTTTGCTGTGCAGAAGCTTTTTAGTTTGATGCAATTCCATTTGTTCATTCTCTCTCTTAGAGGCCATGCCATCTGGATTCTATTTAGGAAGCCATTCTCTATGCCTATTTGTTACAGTGTATTTCCTAGTACTTCTTGTAATTGCTTCAAAGTTTCAGGCCTTACATTAAGGCCTTTGATCCACTTTGCTTCGATATTGGTACAGGGTGAAAGAGTTTTCCAGTTTTAGTCTTCTACATATGGATATCGTTTTCCCAACATTTGTTGAAGGGGCTATCTTTTCTTCATTGTGTGTTTTGGGCTTCTTTCTTGAGAATCAGTTGGCTGTAGCTCCATGGGTTTATGTCTGGGTCTTCTATGCTAATCCACTGGTCTTTGTGTCTGTTTTTGTGCCAATACCATGCTGTTTCTATTGTTATGGTTCTATAGTATAGTTTTAAGTCAGGAATTGTGACTCCTCCAGCATTGGACTTTTTGTTCTGAATTGCTTTGACTATTTGATGTCTTCTGTGTTTCCATGTGTATTTTAGGACTGATTTTTCTATCTCTCTGAAGGAGGTCATTGGAATTTTGATAGGAATTGCATTGAACACATAGATTGCTTTTGGTAATATAACCATTTTCATGATGTTGATTCTGCTAATCCATGATCATAAGAGATCTTTCCATCTTCTGATATCCTCTTCAATGATTTATAGTTTTCACTGAAAAAGTCTTTGGTTTCCTTCATTAAATATATTCCTAGGTAATATTTTTGAGGCTATTGTAAATGGGATTATTTCCCTCATTTCTTTCTCAGTCTGTTTGTTGTTGGTATATAGTAAAGCTACTGATTTCTATATATTAATTTTTTATACTGCTACTTTGCCAAAAGAGTTTATGATTCCTAATAGTTTTTGGTAGAGTTTTTAGAGTCTTTTAGATATAAGATCATGTCATCTGCAAATAGGGATAGTTTGACTTCTTCCTTCCCTAATTGAATCCCTTATTTCTTGTTCTTGTCTTATTGCTCTGGATAAGAATTCTAAAACTATATTGAGTAAGAGTGGGGAGGACAGGCATCCCTGTCTTGTTCCTGACTTTAGCAGGAATGATTTCAGTTGTTCTCCATTTAGCATAATATTGGCTATAAGTTTGTTGTATATAGCCTTCATTATGTTAAGGAACATTACTTTTATTCCTAGTTTCTTCAGATCTTTTTCCATGAAAGGGTGTTGACTTTTGTTAAAGGATTTTTCTACATCTATTGAGATGATCATGTGACTCTTATCCATGCTTCTGTTTATATGCTGCATAATGTTTATAGATGTGCATATGACGAACCATCCTTGCATCCCTGGAATGAAACCAACTTGGTCATGGTGTATGATCTTTTTGATGCACTGTTGAATTCTGTTTGCCAGTATTTTCTTGAGAATCTTTATGTCTATATTCATTAAAGATATTGGTCTATAATTCTCTTTTGTGTTGCATCTTTATTGGATTTTGGAATGAGGGTAATGATGGCTGCATAGAATGAGTTTGGTAGTGTTCTTCCCTGTCTATTTCCTGGAGTATCGGTATTAGTTCTTCTTTAAAGGTTTGGTAAAATTCAGCATGAGTCCATCAGGCCCTGTGCTCTTCTTTGTAGGGAGGCTCTTTATTACTGCTTCAATCTCATTGCTTGTAATGTGTCTATTTTGGTGCTTCATATCTTCTTGGTTCAATTTTTGTTGGGTAGACAAATTTATCAATTTCATCTAGATTTTCTAGTTTACTTGAATATGAGTTTTGAAAGTATCCTCTAATAATCCTCTGGATTTTGCTAGCATTTTTGTTTGTCACCTTTTTCATCTTTGATTTTATTAATTTGGGTCTTTTCCCTCCTCTGTTTTGTCATGTTGGATAAGGGTTTGTTGATCGTGTTAATCTTTTCAAAGAACCAACTTCTTGTTTCACTGATTCTTTAAATAGCTTTTTTGGTCTCAATCTCATTTATCTGGGCCCTGATCTTTATTATTCCTCTCCATCTGCCAGTTGGGGGTTTCGTCTGTTCTTATTTTTCTAGAAACTTAAGGTGCAACATTAGGTTGTTTATCTTAGATGTTTCTGTTTTTTAAATGTAGACTCTTTCAGGTACAAACTTTCCTCTTAGCACAGCCTTTGCTGTGTCCCACAGATCCTGGTACGTTATATTCATTTTCATAAGATTCTGGGAAGTTTTTGATTTCTTTCCTTACTTCTGCAGTGACCCACTGATCATTCAGCAGTGTGTTGTTTAGTCTCCATGTGTCTGAATAATTTCTGTGGTTCCTTTTATTGTTGAATTCTAATTTTATTTTTATTATATGAATATAAGTGATAAAATGTCCCTTTTCTTCCCTATCTAATCTCTTCATCATGTAACGTATGATGTACCCACTTGATATCTGCAAGGGCAGTTTTGGATGAGATTAACATTGAATTCAGTAGTAAATAAAACAGACTGCCTCATGAGTGAGCCCATTCAATCACTTTTAATCCTGAAAAGAACAAAAAGACCAACACTCCCCTCAGCAGGAGGGAAGGCTTCCTGACATCATCAGGCTCAGAGAGCAGCTTTTTTCCTATCATTGGAATTGAGCTGAAATACCAGCTTTCCCTGGCCACAAGCCTGCCAGCCTTCCAAATGGAACCATTCCATCAGCTCTACTGGCTGTGAGGCATTTAGATTCAACTTAGAAAGAGACCATCACTTCTGCTTGGTCTTCAGCTTGCTGACTCACTCTGCAGTTCTGGTACTTACCAGCCTCCATAATTGCATGAGCCAATTCATAGTGTGTGTGTGTGTGTGTGTGTGTGTGTGTGTGTGTGTGTGTGTGTGTGTGTGTGTGTGTGTACACACATACACATACATATCCTATTGGTTCTGTTTCTCTGGAGAACCCAGAATAATGCAGAGGACAACCAGTCAAAACTAAAAAGAAATAGGAGCTTCCTATTTACACTTCTTCAAACAGACTGAAATTAGTAGAATACTAATAATATACAACAGAGAAAAGACAGCCTCTTCAACAAATGTTGTTAGGAAAAGTGGTTATCCATTTGCAAAAAATTGAAACTAGATCCATGTTTATCACCCTGTACTAGTATCAACTCAAAATACATCAAGGACCTTAATATCAGACCCAAAACTCTGAAGTTGGTACAGGAAAGAGCAGGAAACACTCTGGAAGTAATAGGTATAGGCAAGGACTTCCTCAATAGACCCCAGCAGGTCAGCAACTAAGAGAAAGTATGGACAAATGGGACTTCATAAAACTAAAAAGCTTCTGCACAACAAAAGAAATGGTCTCTAAACTGAAGAGACCACCCACAGAATGGGAGAAAATATTTGCCAGCTATACATCAGACAAAGGACTGATAACCAGAATATACAGGAAACTTAAGAAACTAAACTCTCTCGAAATCCATGAACCAATTAGAAAAGGACACTGAACTAAACAGAACTTTCTCAAAAGAAGAAATTCAAATGGCCAACACACACATGAAAAAATACTCACCATCTCTAGCCATAAAGGAAATACAAATCAAAACCACACTAAGATTCCATCTCACCCCTGTTAGAATAGCCATCATCAAAAACACCACCAATAACAGGTGTTGGCGAGAATTTGGGGAAAAAAGACCCTCGTACACTGCTGGTGGGAATCCAAGCTAGTGCAACCACTCTGGAAAAAAATTTGGAGGCTTCTTAAAAATCTAAACATAGATCTGCCATATGATCCAGCAATCCCACTCCTGGGGATATACCCAAAGGAATGCAGCACAGGTTACTCCAAAGGCACCTGCACACCCCTGTTTATTGCAGTGCTATTCATAACGGCCAAGTTATGGAAACAACCAAGATGCCCCACTACTGACTAATGGACCAAGAAAATGTAGTATTTATACACAATGAAATTTTACTCAGCCATGAACAAAAATGAAATATTATCATTAACAAGTAAATGGATGGAACTGGAGAACATCATTCTCTAGGCTCAGAAAACCAAAAATCATATGTTCTTCCTCATATCTGGACTTGAGATCCAGGGCAAATACAGCAATATTGTTGGTCTTGGGTCACATGACAAGGGGAGAGCACATAAGGGAGGTATGGGGATAGGTAGAAAATTCAAAACATGAAAGTGTTTGATGTCCACACTCCAGAGGAGCTAATACAGAAACCTTAAAGCAACAGAGGTCAACATGAGAAGGGGATCAGGAACCAGTTTAAAGATCAGTTAGAGATGAATCAACTTGGGTTGTAACACATTTATACTTGGAAGCAATGCTACGAATCTCTCTGTATACCTATTGTTAACTCAGCTAGCAAAAATGCTTTGTCTTTCTTATTATTGCTTATGTCTTCTCTTCAACAAAATTAGAGATAAGGGCAGAACAGGTCCTGCCTGGAAGTGAGGGGGATTCGGGGGGAGAGTAAGGGAACAGGAGGTAGGGGGTAGAAATGACCCAAACAATGTATGAACATGTGAATAAATGAATAAAAAAAAATCTGAAGCAAAAATAGGTATCATCAAAGCAATCAACTAGAAACATCTTACTTGAACCAAAGATGACTTGACACTGAGCGTCATAATACTGGCACATGCCATTGTAACAGTAGGCTTTGCTGTTCTGGCAAGGATATCCATTCTGAATAAAGACATCTGGCTGGCAGAACTGAGAAGAACCATTGCAGTATTCTGGCACATCACATTCATTGGTTTTTCCTCGGCACAAAGTGCCTCCTGGAAGGAACTAGTGTAACGAGACTCAAATTAAATAGGAATATCAGGACAATTTCCACAAATCAGTCAAATTTAAAACTACAGTATTTTTACATTTATAAGGGATTCTAACAGCAACAAAAGATTCAATAACCCACTGTAAAAATGAATTAAGGCCAATGACAGGCAATTCATTAGTGATATAAATTTTAAAAAAACAATGCAAATTCAATAAAAAATACAAGAACACGAACTAGGACTACAATGCTTGCTAATAACCAATGTTAGCACACAGAAACAAGTAGTTGATGACATTGTTAACAGAAGCACAGACTAGCACATTTATGGAAAATATATACAACATATCAAAAAAATGTAATATGCTTATTCTGGCCCAGTGATTCCTCTTACATGCAAAAACCAGAAGGGATCTAACTGTCTGCCATTGACTGACAAGACAAAGAAATTAAGGTATTGCCAAAAAGAAATACTAACTATATAACCATGTAGCACCACATGACTAGAAAAAAGTCTATAATATCTTATTGAATAGAACAGGAATAAAAATATGTGTATCTTTGTTTACCCACTTACATACAAGCACACACCCACACCCACACACCTGTACAGAAGTAACTAAGTGAACAACAAATTTCCAACAATGGCTGACTGAGAAGTATAAAATGATAGTCTTTTGTTTTCTACTTTCTATGCTTTGGTATTTTTGAATTATTTCTATCAAATATACATTAACAATCTAGAGGAAAAAGAAATGTTTCAACTTAGTAAAAAACTTAATAAACCACTTATAAAAGAATATGCTTTAAAATTGCACACAAGTGGTATAATTTTGGGGGGAATGGTACCAACACTTGGACTGAAGGCTACACACTCACCAGGCAGGTGCTCTACCACTTGAGCCACTCCACCAGTCCTTTTATTGTACTGAATATTTTCGAGACAGAGTCTCGAGAACAATTTGCCCAGACTGACTTCAAACCATGATCCTACTGATCTCTGCCTCCCAAGCAGCTAGAATTACAGATATGAGCCACCAGGGCCCAGCTAACATTTTTCCTATAATCATATAGTAAAACTAGCCCTGATAAGACTGGGGGCATGGTTCAAGTGGTAGCGTACTTGCCTAGTAAGTGAGAGACTCAGAGTTCAAACTGCAGGACCACCAAAAAAAAAAAAGAAAAATAGTACTGACAGATCTCCGAAGACAAATTTTGATATATGGATTTTCTTTTTCTATTTTTTCTTCATAATAGCGAGGAATTGCCTACCTGGCAGTCTTTACAACAGTCACCATATGCACATTCAGCAAATGATTTAAGCTTACAAGTACTTCCTTCACAACACGGGTCCAATTCACAGTCCTGTGAACAGAAAATGACTGTTAGTAACAAAATGAGTATTGACGTTAGTGGTCATTAATAAAGTCCTCTTCTTATTCCTAAGATCTACTCTGTCTCACCTGGCTGTAGCAGCTGCTCTCCACGGGCACTCCCTGACCGAGCTTCTGGACTGATCAACCTCCCTCACTGCAAGCACAGCATCTCAGCATATTTCAAAAGACCAACATCACAGCACATATGCCTTAGGCCAACAGAGTGCCATAATCAAATACCACAGTTCTGGAGGCAGGACAGCCAAGAGCAAAGATCTTACAAATCCAACTCAGGGGAGAACCCTTTTCCTGACTGGGTGACAACTATCTTCTTGCAATGTGCTCAAGTGACATCTTGCTTGGCTCTTCTCATATGCTTTGGGCCGCCATGGTGACACTTTACCCCCAACCTTCCACTCACACAGACACTTTCTCTCCTGTGTTAATATAATGATATTAACATCTTCATTTTCATATTGAGACGTCACCTTTGGGGGAAACTGGTGGAAGAGAACAGGGATTCTATTACTATTTTCCTATCTGCACACATTTATTTCATAATAAAAATGTTTTTAATTTTTCTTTTTAATTAACATAATAATTGTACATACTTAAGGAATACAGTGTGATATTTCAACATGAGTATTCAATGTATACTGATCATATAAGGGTAATTAGCACTTCCATCTGTAAAGTAAATCAACTATAATCTATCCTTGCAACACACTAAAAATAAGGCAAAATGGTTAATGAAGCTAAATATAAAACCTAAAACTTGGGTCCAAACATGGTACGTGTCTATAATCCCATCTACTAAGAAGCAGAGATCCAGAGGACTGTGGTTCAAGGACAGCATGGGCAAAATGTTAGTGAGACCCCATGTTAACCAACAAGCTAGGTGTAATGACTCACGTCTTTAATGCTGACTGCACAGGAGGCACAGTCTGAGGCCAAACCCGGGCAAAAACGCAAGTCCTTATCTGAAAAAATAACTAAAGCAAAAAAGGGCTCAAGTTGTAAAGCACCTGCCTAGCCCAGCACAAGGCCTGAATTCAAAACCCCCATACTAAAAAAACCCTGAAAACTAAACTATAAAACTTCTAGGACAAAAATCTCAACAGTTTTTAGATCCAATACTAAAAGCACAATTCATAGCAGTACAAAATGATAAAATGGATTTCATCAAAATACAAGGATCTCTTCCTCAAAAGATACTGTTATGTTAACTAAAGGCAAGGTACAACTTGGACGATATATTTACAAATCAAATAGCTGACAAAAGACCTATATCCAGAATACATAAAATATTCTCAAGACCTAGTGACAAATAACCAATTGTTAAAATGGAGGAGAGAATAGAACAGACACATCAGCACAAGGTACACAAATGTCCAATCAGATGTGAAAACACACTAGCAACTTAGACATTAAGGAAATGCACATTCAAACCTCACCGAGCCAGCACTTCCCAGCTGGCAGGACAGCTAACAGAAAAGATGGCCACATGAATCCCACTGAGGAGACTAAAGAACCAGAGTTCTCACTCTCACACAGTGGGGATAGGAATGAGAAATGACACAACCACTTTGGAAAGCGTTTGAGAGCTTTGTGAAAAGTTAAATACACAACTCCCATATGACCAACTCATTTCATTCCTAATTGGTGACCCAAAGGAAATAAAAACCTAAGTCCACATAAAAACTAATATTTGATTGCACATAGAACTCTATTTGTAATATACCCAAACTGGAAACAACTCAAATATTCACCAACAGGACAAGCATGATGATACACATCTGTAATCCCAGCTACTCAGGTGGCAAAGAATGGGAGGATCCTGGTTCAAGGCCAGTTCAGGGATAAAAGGTAGTGAGACACCATCTCAACCAATAAGCCAAGCATGATAGTGTACACCTGTGATCCCAGCTACACTGGAAGCAAAGGGAGGTGGATGATGGTCTGAGGCCAGCCCAGGCAAAAATGCAAAATCCTACCTGAAAAAATAAGTAAGGCAAAAAAAGAACTGAGGGCATGGCTTTAGTGGTAGAGCACCTGCCTAGCCATCATGAGGCCCTGAGTTCAAACCCCAGTACTGCCAAGTACATACATACATATATACGTATGTACACACACACACACACACGCATGCACACACTCTTATAGCACAACTGCAGCATAAACAAATCTCAATTATGCTGAGAAGAAAAAAAACAGAACAAAAGAAGCCCTCAGGTACATAAAATTCTAGGAAATGCAAGCTAATCTACAGTGACAGGAAGATCAGTAGTTGCACAAGGAAGATGGGGCACAAGAAAGGGCAAGTGCAAGTGATTTACCAAGGGAGCAAAAGAACTTTTTAAGATGGTGCTAGTTTCATTATCTAAATCAGGGTGACAATTTTGAATACATAGACATGTGTCACCAACTTACCAACTTGCATGCTTTATAGATGTGCACATCACTGTCCACCAGGTGCACACAACTGCCCATGTCATACCCTTTGTCTTATTGTGACCAAATTTTACTAAAGTTCCTCTGTTTCCTACAAGACCCCAAATTTTGTGTGGGGATAACATGCTCCTTGTCATAGTTTGAATCTGGAATGTTCCCAGAGGCTCATGTGTTAAATGCCTGGTGCCCAGGGCGGCTGAGTTCAGAGGTGAGAATTGATTGGATCCCAAGGACACTAACTCACTGATGGATTGATGGGGAGTTCACAGCTTAATGGACTATTCAGAGTGGGCCTAGGTGGAGGAAGTAGGTCATATGAGGACATGATTTTGAAGGGTATATTTTGTCTCCCTTCATCTCCCCCCAACCCTTCGCTCTCTTTTTCTCCTTCCTGGCCACTATGAGATAGCAGTCTCTTCTGCCATACACCCTTACCTCCATGATACCTTGCCTCACCTTGAGTCCAAAGCTACACAGCCAATTAACCTTGGACTGAAACCACGGGCTAAAATAAACTTTTCCTCATTTAAGGTGACCTCTCTCAGGAATTCCATCACAGTGACAGAGAGGTCACACACACACACACACACACACCCCTCATCACCTTCTCCTGGAAATCAGTGGTCACAGCAGACCCTTTCCTATCAGAACCTCACTGGTTGCCTCACCTCTCCAACATCCCCTTAAGTGATTCTGTTCATCTTTCTGTGTGATTCTGAGATGCTTGCAGAGTTCTGAAATCAGAGCACACTCTTCCTACTACAATAGTCTTTCTTCAGAATAAAGGCTTTCTCTGTGGAAATTCAAGGATGGTTGTTTTTTTTTTTCAAAAACCACTCTGCATGACAGAGTTTCATGAAAGAATAGAGAATCAGGAAATAGACAATGCATATAAGACTTTCATTTAAGATAAAAGTACCATTTTAAATGGTGCCACAACAACTGACCATAACAACTGGCCATTAGTGAATAGGTTAAATTCATTAAGTGGCAGGATATAAAACCAACAAAAACCCATCAGTTCATTTCTATACACTAACAATGAACTACATGAAAAAAAACTATGAAAGCAATGGCAGTTATAATAGTATCAAAAATAATAAAATACTTGAGAACAAACTTAGTCAATGAAATGAAAGACACTAAAAACTGTAAAATACTCCTAAAAGAAATCAAAGATAATACAAACAAATAAAGAAAGACCCTATGTTCATGAGTTGGAAGAATTAGTATTGGTAAAATGTTCACATTACCCAAAGTGATCTATAGTCAATGTAATTCCTATTAAAATCCCAATGGCATTTTTAACAGGAATTATAAAAAGAAACTGTGAAATTCACATGGAACCACAAAGGACCTCAAAAAGTCAAAACATCTTGAGAAAAAAACACAAAGCTGAAGGCATCACACTTTTGATTTCAAGATACAGCACAAAGGTACTATAGCTAAGCAGGACGGCACTGGCATAACAGTAGGTATGTGGACCAATGGAACAGAATAAGTAAAAAACCCAGAAATCAACCCATGCATTCAAGGTTAGTTCATCTTCAACAAGGATGCCAAGAATAGATAATGGGGAAAGCAAAGTTCCTCAACAAAGGTACTGAGAAACATGCAAAAGAATGAAACTGGAACCTTATCTTCTACTAGACACAAAAAATTAATTCCACACAAAAAATGAACTCAAAGTGATTAAAGAATTAAATGTAGACTCAAAACAGTAAAACTCCTAGAAGAAAACACAGAGGAAAAGCTTCATGACATTGATGTTGGTAATGATTTTGTGGGCTGACAACAAAATCACAAGCAACAGAGGCAAAACCAGACAGGTGGGACTGTATCAATAAAAACATTCTGCCCAGCAAAGAAAGCAATCAACAGAGTGAAAAGCCAAAATGTGAAATAGGAGAAAATATTTTCAGACCACATATCTAATAAAAGATTAATTTCTAAACTATAAAAAAAATTTCTATAGCTTGGTAGCAAAAAAAAAAAAAACCCAATATAAAAACAGGCTCCTAGACATTTCTCCATAAAAGACATACAAATGGCCACAAGTATATGAAAAGATGCTCCACATCGTTGATCACCAGGAAAATGCCAACCAACTGCAATGAGCTGTAACTCCACACCTGTTAGGACTGCTACTAACAAAAGGACAACAGGTGCTGACAAGGATGTGCAGAAACTGGAACCCTTCTACACTGTTGGTGAGAATGCAAAGTAATACAGCTGCTAAGGCTGTACGAGGAGCTACGAAGGCTCCTCAAAAAACTAAAAATGTAACTACCATATAATCCAGCAATGCCACTTCTGGCTATTTATCTAAAATAAAACCAGGATCTTAAAGAGACATTACATTCCCATGTTCACCATAATATCATATACAGTGGTCAAGATGTGGAAACAACCTAAACTGTTCAATGACAGATAATAGCTAAAGAAAATGTGGAATGTACACACAGCCTTTAAGAAGAAGGAGAGTTGGACTGGGGGAGTGGCCCAATTGGTAACAGTGCCTGCTTAGCAAGTGTGAGGCCCTGAGTTCAAACCCCAACGCCACTAAAAAAAAAAAAAAAAAAAACAGGATTTGTCATTTGCAAATAACATGGATGAACCTTAAAAACACTACACTAAGCGAAGTAAACTACTCACAAAGGCCATATATACATTATTCCACTTATAGTAGGTACGTAAATTAGCCAAACTCAAAAGCAGTGAACAGAATGGTGGTTGCTGGGCCTGAGAGAAAGTGCTGACCTGTAGGTCTAAAGTCTCACCATGAAGATGACAAAGTCCTGCCCATCTGCTGTACAGCACAGCACCTCCAGCTACACTACTGCTCTGTACACCTCAAAATCTCTCATGCTGAGTGTTCTTACCACAACAAATAAAAACAGATCACAAAACAAAACCACTTTTTGTAAGTGCACATACTTCATATTTTATGTAATATGCAATTCTTAAATGAAAACTTCTACAAATGGAAGTAAAGATTCATGGGAGAAACTGAGATGTATAAGGTTGTTTTTACTTCCTACTCAAAACCTTATATCAAGGGGAAAAACCTGTGATATTTGAAGGGAAGGAAACACTTTTTTTAGAGAATCATTTTATAGTGAGACGCAAAGTGATTAATATTTCAATGAGTATGGTGGTGAAGTAAACAGTTGGGATAAAGCAAAAATAACAGAATATTTAAGGAGAAAAATCTGACAATGAGTAGAAGGAAGAAGTCTTAGACACCCTAATAGTATCTTCATTTAAAACTGAGGGCAGAGGACACAGCCTAGTGGTGGAGAGCATGCGTGTGTAAGCCCTTGGCGCAATTCCCAGCACTGCAAAACATTTTTAAATTGAATAAATAAGTAAAAATTAAACATAAGCGCTTTAAGCCTCAATCTCCTTATGTGAGGATGAAAATATTCAAAATTTCAGTCTCTTAGGGTTATTGTGGGAATTGTCTTGGTAGAACATTTAGAAGTCCCTGACATGCATCAATAATGTAATAACACGACTTCTTCTTAGGACACATACTGGCCAGGTGTGGTCAGTCAGGAAGATGCACTTCTGGAAAAGAGTGAGAATACAGTAGGACTTACAATCGAACATGTCTTCAAAACGGACTGCCAGGCTAAGGAGGGAGGGGCTTAAGTGGACCATTTTGAGAGGAGCACATGAGGGGCATGGCCACAGAGCACTAAAGATAAAGATGGGCACAGGCTGACGGAACTAAGTGTGATGAGCAGGTAAACTAAAGACCAATGAAGGGAGGATACTTCTCTGAGTGGAAAGAATTTAGGAGCTGAAGGACTCAAGAGGATGGGCCAGCTTCAGTTTATCTTTTAAACAAGACCAACTGAATAAATGCATATTTCTGCAATGGCCAGGCCAAAACAGTGACAGCTAACAAGTAAAGGGCCAAGTGAAAAGTAATGAATTCTTCAAGGTAGGTAAATAAGCCAAGAACCGTAACAGGAATGGAAGATAACAGGTGGCACCACCAGCTATGCTGTGGGAAGGAACAGATGCCCAAACCTAGGACATCCACACAGACAAAATAACAATCTTCACTCTGTCACTAAAGCTTGTTTGGGCTCCTATGCCAGCATTGCCCAAAACCAGCAACTTTACTTTTGCGAACCTTGTGGTAATGTCACAAAGCAAAAATTAAAAATTAAACTGACCTTTGGAGTACCACAGTCACATTCTTCCCCGGGGTCCACCAACTTATTACCACAGAAGGGCGCACTATAGGCTTCATCAGGCTTTGGAATATTAAGAAGGCAGTTTCCTCCTTTATTTAAAGTTAATTTCTCAAAGTCCTCTGCACTGCAACTGCTAAAGTTTCTGGAACCTCTATAATAAATATTAAGAAAAAGATCTTATGTCATAGTGATTACTTGTGAAATTTTTAAGTCTTATCTTTAACCAGCAAGAACTAAGTGCTATAAATGGCAGAAAATTAACAAAAGTAGGCAGAAATGAGAATTAATATCTATTGCTACTAAATATAACATATTACTTCAACTACTATATAGTAGTTAACTATTTTGGTTATAATATATTGTACCTCCATGAAAATATCTTCTAAACATACCACTTACATTAAAACACAAAAACATAATTCTTTAGTACTAGGGTTTGGGTTATAACTCAAATGGTAGTGCAACTGCCAGAAAACCCCAGTACTGGCAATATACATATATGTATATATGTACATACATACACACACAGACATACAGTCACACACACACACACACGGTCTAAACAGAATTAATTTTTACTTCTCTAACATAGTAGAGATTCAAATATCAGAAGTGAGCTGTATGTTGTCCCCTACGTTTTGTTATTCTGCAGGATAATGATCTTATGTTCCCCTCCCCCCACCATCATTCACTGAGAGCCATGTGAAAGCACTATGAATGGGCACTTCCACAGAGATGAACCAGTCATCGAGAGGCAGATGGCACAGTGCAGAATTTCAGCTATTCTTACGTGACAAGTTTTCAATTTAAGCTTTAGATATTTTTTATAATTCCTGAGAATCATAGTTGCTACTTTGAAGATTAAATGGACTTTACAAAACTATCCACTTTGAGCCATCCATGTGAGAGTTATACAAATACAAGTTTGATATGTTCTACCTGGCTTTTTTTTCTTAATTACTATTTTATCCAATAACTATAAAATGTTATCAAATAGTCCTATTAACTATTCTTACGTTTGAAAACTAAAAGGAAATACATCTTTATACCACAAATCTTTGAGAAACCCAAATCACATTAAAATTTTTTCAGGAATAGTCCCATTTTTTTTAGTTTAGTAGACTGAACTTTTGGTATACTATCCAAAAATATCATTGCTAAAGTCAATATTAAGGAACTTTTCCCCAAAAGTTTTATGGCGTCAAGTCATACATCTGGGTCTTTCACACATTTTGAGTTGAATTTGTGAGTGGGGGGGTGCTGGTAAAAGGGTTCAATTTCATTCTTCTGTATGTGAAAATACATTTATTGAAGAGATTACACTTTCCCCATTAAGCCCTCTGGGTGTCCTCATGGAAAGTAATTGACCATGTGTGTTTCGATATATTTCTAGGCTTTCCAGTCTGCTCCATTGGTCTATGTGTCTGTTTAGATGCAAGAACGATGATGGTTTTATTGCCATAGCTATTAAACTAAAAAGCTTCTACATAGCAAAATAAGCAATCAGTAAGATGAAAGGTAGCATACAGACTGGGAGAAAATATCTGCAAACCATACATCTGATAAAAGGTTAATATCCAAAATGTATAAAGAACTTAAAATTCAGTAGCAGAAAAACAAATAATGCACTTTAAAAACAGGAAAATGAACTTGAATAAGCATTTCTCAAAGACATGCAAATGGCCAACAGGTTCATGAAAAGACACTCAATATCACTAATCAGGGAAATGCAAATCAAACCACCTGTTAGGATGGCTGTTCACCTAAGAGGCAAGCCATTGTGGAAAAAATGGGAGATTCCTAAAGAAATTAATAACTGAACTACCATTAGCCCTTACAATCTCTCTTCTGGATAAATATCCAGAAGAAATGAAATCACCACTGTGTAGCGATATCTGCATTCCCACATTCAGCTTTATTCACAATAGCCAAGACATGGAAACAACCTCAGTGTCCATCAACAGAAGAATGGATAAAGAAATTGTATGTGTGTGTGTGTGTGTGTGTGTGTAAATAAGACATATGGACATACAGATTTAATTTTTCATATGAGTGTATATATAATGGAATATGATAAGCCTTAGAAAATGAGATCCTGACATTGCTCACAACATGAAAATACCTGGAGGACATTATGCAAAGTGAAAGAAAAATACCACTTGACCTCACTTAATTGTGAAATTTTTTAAAATTTCCAATACACAGAGATAGAGAATGAAACAGTAGTTATGATAGAAGGAGAGGAAATGAGGAGATGCAGGTCAAAGGATGCACAGTAGGATGAACAAGTCTAGAGATCTAATACGTGACATGAGGACTATAGTAAATAACATTACACTGTATAATATGCCTGGTTACAGTAACCATCTCACCATCCATATGAACATCAGAACATCATATTACACCAGGTGTGGTGGTGCACACCTATAATCACAGCACATGGGAGGCTGAGGCAGGAGGACTCTGAGTTCCAAGCCAGCCAGGCTACATAGTGAGACTCTGTCCATGTATCATGTTATGCTTTCTAAACATAAACAATAAAATATTTAGACAGAGATAGATGATAGGTAGGTAGGTAGGTAGATAGGTAGATAGATAGATAAAGATACAGACATAAAATTAAGGGAATCTGGTGTCCTGATAAAATTTCTTTCCCATTATCTTGAGCAGTGGTGCCAAAAGCATCAGTAGGAGTGAAAACCATGTTGCATTACCATCATTGAGGAAGCATCCCTATCTATGTCTGGGTCTTTTGTAGATCCAGACAACTCTAGGAAACAGATCCTTTTGGTGAGAATTTTTGCCCTGAGTAGACATGTGTCACTCTTGCCTGCTGGCGGGTCTCCAAGAAAGCAGACAGTCCTGGCTCCTGGTTCTTGGAATTAGAAAGCAAACTGCCTAGAACATTTTGATACTGTTAACTACTGTTGCCATATTTTAACAGAATAACTGGCATTAAAAAATGGAAAAAAACATGAACAATCTTCTGTTCATGACAAAAGAATATGCAAAGATAAAATTTTGATTCATGGAAGGAAAAGGTCTACCTCAAGGCTGTGACAGTAATGGACTTGACTTGGTTTTCTTTTTCTCACTACTCTTAAGGACATTGTGGGAAGGAGACCTTTTGTGCAGTATCAATCATTCACCATCTGTTTGTACAAGGCACTCTTCTTGCTGTTAAGACAGCAGACAAAATACCCTGATCTATGAAGGTTACTTTCCAGTGAGTGAAGCAGATTATAAGCATAGTAAGTAAATTAGCTGGAATATGAGAATGTGTTAAGTACTATGGAGAAAAAAGGTGAGGGAGTAAGGTGATGAGCTGTGTAAAAAGTTGGGTGATTATATTTCTAAAAGGGCAGTAAGGGCAGGCCCTTCCAACATTATTACCTTTCAATCAAATTGTGTATCTGGGGAAAAGACCATTACAGAAAGAAGAAATAGCAAGTGCAAAAATCCTAAAGGGAGGCCCTGGCATGTTCAAGGAACAAGAAGGGAGCCAGGAGGTCTGCAATGGAGTACTCAGGGAGGTATGCAGAGAATAGGCTATGATAAAAACCTGGCTTTTCTTGGTGGGAATACAAACTAGTAAAACCACTATGGGAAGCAATATGGAGATACCTCAAAATCTAAAAGTAAAACTATCATATGACCCAGTGATACCAGTCCTGGGCATATATCCAAAGGAATGTGCACCATGACATGATAATGCCACTTGCACACCCAGTTTTACTGCAGTACTATTCACAATAGCCAAGCTTTGGAAACAGACCAGTTGCCCCACAACTGATGAATGGATGAAGCAAATGTGGTGTATATACACAATAGAGTAATATTCAGCCATGAAGAAGAATGAAACTATGTTGTTTACAGGATGGAACTGGAGAACATCATGTTAAGCGAAGTAAGCCAGACTCAGAAAATCAAAGGTCATATGTGGAAGCTAGACCTATAAGTTAAATGTATATGTGTGTGTATATACATGTATATACATATACATAGTGACTGAACAAAATCACATTAGTGAGTCTGTCTGAGGAGACTACGGGAGGTGAAAGAGGGAAAGAAAATGTTAGAGAATGAAAAATATTGAAACAACCCATCTATATATGAACATAAGCTATTGAATATTAGGGGAGAATCGTGAATTAGAATGAGGAGCTAAAGGGAGCAGTTAATTTAATTAAATCATGATATATACAGGCCTGAAGTACTGAGACAAAATCCCCTTGAACTATCAATATACACTTTAAAAAAAAAGGCAGGAGGGTAAAATAGGTTATTTCTAGGGATGGCTACAAGGGGGAAGCAGGTAGACATAAGGAAGGGGTGAATGAGGGTGAATATAGTAGATGTATTTGGTATTCATATATGAAAATAGAAGACTGAAACTATCCTAAAAAGGGGGGAGGAGGGAGAACAATGGAGGAAATAAATCCAACTAAGATATACTGTAAGCACATATGTAAATATCACAATGTAGCTTCCTGTATTAACTATTATATACTAATTTTTTTTAATGTGGCTTTTAGTATGAGTAAAATGGGGACATTGGGAGTGGTCTTGGGAAAGACAATGTGAAGTGTTGACAGGAAAGATGACTAGACTTATGCTTCCCTGGGATCACCAGGATTACTATGTTAAGCAGGAAGATTGTAAGAGGAGGACTCTTGCAGAAATCCACTCAACAGGGATGAGGAATCACAATGATAACTGTGGGAATAGGAAAGGACTGGATTCTTTATGTTTTAAAGAAACAGCCACTACAATAAGGAGTGTACGCATAAAAAAGAAATCCAGGCTGACTCCAAAGTTGTTGTGCTGAGATAGTAGAAGGAAGGAGTCATCTTTAACCAATAATTTGGGGAAGACTGTGGGTAGATCAAGATTCAGGAGAGAAAACAGTGTGAGACTATTAGACATCAAGTAAAAATGTTGAACTCATGGTATGTCATCATTCTTTGATAAACAAAGGAGACATAAATTTAAACAGAGGCTTGTAATTATTTATTTCCTATTAGTGATTGTGGTTAGTATGTTACAGTGCCTGCAACATAGTACATAATGTTTTCTACAAGGATAATAATTAGACAATAGCCACAGACGTGTCTGTTCCTACATTAGAATCCCTAATTACATTACAACCTGCAGAGTCTATCAACTTTAAACAGGTTATTTTTGAATAAGCTTATTATTTAGTAGTTGAAACCACTTTCTCATCTACCAAAAAAAAAAAAAAAAAAACCTGTTTTACTCACAACAAAGTTAACTACAGTACTGAAAATCATAACAAAATCATAAGCACTTTGGTTCTTTTTAGTAAACGGAGATATTAATAGACATGCTCCAGTTCTGGCCTTCAGTGATGCCTTACAAGGTTTTGGAGGCAACAATGAAGACATTCCTCTCCTGGCACTTGGCTTGAATAACAACTAAGGTAGCTCTACCCTTTACCAACTGCCTCTAGACTCTATAATATTTATGACTTAAAACATCCTCCTCTCTCTTCTCACATCTCAGTGAGTTTTTGAAAACTACTTCAAAAGCAGATTAACAATGATAGAACTAACCTACTAAGAAATCACACACAAAAAAATCACTTGCCACTTTAGAACTCATTGCTTACATTATTACTCATTATTTCTGTGAGTAATTGGGGAATGCCAGAACATATTTTCACCACTACCATTCTGATCCCATTAACCTAGGATTAGGAAGTCCAAGGAGGAGACACAAAGTTCTAATTAAACTGCAGAGCTAAGAAAGCCATATATAATTGTAAAAGAGGTCTTGCTGAGGGTGTCCTCATCCCTCCCAAACCTCCATACCCTGTTTTATTTTCTTACATATTGCTTATCACACTATCTTCTAACACTCTGCATTATTGATTTATTTCTTATGTTGATAGCTTATCTTCCTCTAATAAATGCCAACTCCTTAAAGGGCAAGACCTTATCTGATTTACTGAGATATTCCAAGTTCCTGAAATAAAGCCTGGCATATCAGAATGCTCGATAAATATCTGATAAGTGAATGAATAAAATCGGTATCCACTCCTCATTGCTTCTTATGCCACTTTAAATTCCCCTACAGTGCTGTTTTATGACATTCCTTCCTTATCTCTGCTCTTTTTCACTTTAGTCATGTTCATTATTCATTTCTCATTTCCTGAATTCTTATCTTCCTCAACTGCACTGACAACCAAAGTAAATGCTAAATTACTTTCCCTTTTCAAAAGGAACTCTTTTACAAACATGACTTCTTAAATATCTAATTATTTTTATGATGATTTTTTTATGAGCACTGCTTTAATTCTTCCATATCTATTTCTGCACTCAGTATCTGCTGAAAAGTAATGCAAATCTTGCTTGAATCTTCCCTTTACACCAGCACGTGGTTAGAACTTAACTCTAGATCTTCACCTAAAGGAATGAGTAGCAGAATTTTTATTACTATGTGCTTCAGGAGCCTGAGGGATGGGGAAGCAGAGTGAATGCTTAGATGGTTTTCCACAGGGAATCGTCAAATGTGCTTGTTAAAAATGACCATCACTCACAGCCAATCTTCAATCAGGCTCAGTTTCTACTACACAATGTGCTGTCTAGGACTACTGAGTTAGGAAGGATGTTTGTGGCACAACAATGAAGCTGCGTCAGAAAGAAGCCCAATAACCCCTGGACCCCCAACTGCAAATATTTTTTAAAGTTTAGCTAAGATTAGCTCGTAGGCTCGGGGCCCAGATTTCCTCACTTCAAATTCAGCAGGAATTTGGATATGTGACCTTAGTTTTCTTATCCATAAACAGGCAGAGTATTTGCAACTCCTTAGATTGAGCAATGAATAAGTTGATACTATTTAAGTACCCGGAAGTGTCTACATATAAAGAGAACTTCATAAATGCTCACCATCCCCTCTCCTCCACTCTGTAGTGCCTCCTACGTTTGTCTCCATAAAATGAGGGTTATTAATAGGAATCTGTCAGGATTTCTTCTTTTCCCTAAAGTGACAGTGCAGCACTATCCCTCAAATGCATTTATGAGGAAATCTGTTATTCCACCCTTCAATCTAATCCAATCTACACTAAACCCAGCAGTAAATTTTCCCACATTGCTTTATTCTTTTGGTCTATTAATCAGTTTATAGAAGAATGTAGTTACATACCTATGCCTAAATAAATGTTTTTTTTTGCAGTACTGGTGCTTGAACTCAGGGCCTACACCATGAGCCACTCCACCAGCCCTTTTTGTGTTAGGTATTTTTGTGATAGGGTCTCTCGAACTACTTGCCTCAGCTGGTGTCAAACCACGATCCTCCTGATCTCTGCCTCCTGAGTCGCTAGGATTACAGGCATGAGCCACTGGTGCCTGGCAAATACTTCCTTCTTAAAACTCTCTGGGATTATTTCATTTAAAAAATAATCTTCTCAAGCGAGAGCACACAAGGGAGGTGTAAGGATAGGTAAGACACCTAAAAAATTAGCTAGCATTTGTTGCCCTCAATGCAGAGAAACTAAAGCAGATACCTTAAAAGCAACTGAGGCAAACAGGAGAAGGGGACCAGGAACTAGAGAAAAGGTTAGATCAAAAAGAATTAACCTAGAAGGTAACCCACATGCACAGGAAATCAGTGCAAATCAACTCCCTGTATAGCTATCCTTATCTCAACTAGCAAAAACCCTTGTTCCTTCCTATTATTGCTTATACTCTCTCTTCAACAAAATTAGAGATAAAGGCAAAATAGTTTCTGCTGGGTATTGAGGGGGTAGGGGAGAGAGGGAGGGGGCAGAGTGGGTGGTAAGGGAGGGGGTGGGGGCAGTGGGGAGAAATGACCCAAGCATTGTATGCACATATGAATAATAAAACAATAAAAAAAATAGTCTTCTCATTGGTGTATTTCAGGGAATCAGGAACAACTTGCCCTGTTTTTTTCAACAGACATGAGTACCCCTTAAAGCTTAAGAAAACTGATCTACAATACCATATTAAGAAGAAGAAAGAACTTGGTTACTCACGATGCCCCTGAATTCATGATGCAGCTCTTTGCTCCACAGAAACAATCCCTCCCATCATCATGATTCATTCCCAGGTTATGTCCCAGCTCATGAGCAACGATGGATGCAAATGTCTCCACAGTGATTTGCCCAAACTGTCCAAACACAGGAAGGTACTGATTAGGTTTCCGAACAAAAAGAAGACATTTGCTTTCTCAGATTATTTTCACTATACTGTATAATAAGCCAAGCATCCAATAACAGTCCTTATACATTTCAGTGTAAAAGAAATTGGGAGGACTCACATACTGAAAATGGAGATGGATCCATTAGTGCTTAAAGGAGATGGATCCTTTAAGCACTAATCACTTTTAGCATCAGATTATTCATGGTTGTTTATGGGAAAACGAATTGATGACTGAAATTTAACTCTCTCTAAAGGACCCTGCTTCCACATCCATAAAAAGATGCAAATAAATACATAAGAGATACTAGAAAACTTGATCTAGTCTTTAGGGAAAGAACACATCTGCTGCTCCTACTGTATCTCTCATAATATACAAAATATTTTTTAAGGATTAGGGGAGAAGTATAGCATTAATAAATGCTTGATATTGTCCTTTCGCAGACATCCAAAGTTGAACATCAACATACCACATTAATCCCGCCTGCGTGGCTCCTTGAACACACAGTTCCTACAAATGCCATTCCTGCAGTCCCACCAAAGCCTTTCTTTCTAAATGAAAAGGTAGAAGTTATAAAGTGCACTTGGAGAAAAGGGAATACATAGTACTATGTATATGTATGTATATGGATAATCTTAACTGCATTGACAAAACCTATAGAAACTGGGGGAAAAAAACTGCAAAGATAAATAACATTTTAAAATCAGAATATAGCTCTGCCTTATCTCCCTTTATTCTCAGAGAATAAGACTAATATTATAAATGCATATTTTAAATTTTTCAGACAGATGACAATACCTTTAGATACAAAGCCAAGTTTTTGTTTGGGAGGGGGTTTTACCTTTTGAATGAAAACCTTTCTGAAAATGTGTTACATTTATTTTTTCAAGTGGGGAGAGATAGCAAATGCAGTGAACACTGTCACAGGAGGCTGCAAGGCACTCAGCACAGTGAGCAGAAGAATCACATGGTTGTCAGACTGTTCCTCAAACATGCCCAGCACCCTAGTGTCTCAGGACCTGCTCCCCCTGCCTAAAGGTCCCTTCCCCAGAATATTTCCTCACCTGCTCCAGGTCTTTATTCAAAAGACTTCTCAGCAAGGCTTGCCCTGGTCATCATGTGACCTCAACATTCAATTTCACTCCTCCAGTACATTTATATCTACTCTCCTTCCCACTTATCATTACTTAACCAACTACATATACTTATTTATATCATTTATGGCTAATCTCTTCCACCAGAATACAGACTCTGGGAAAGAAGGAATTTTTTGGCTGTTTTGGTCACTGCTATCTCCCAGTGTCTAGGATAAATACCCAATAAATATTTTTTTAACTAGTGGGTAAGTCCTTCTTCAGGGCATCCGACTAGTCTGAAGATGACAACTGGAGACAGTAAGAAGACTGCCAAGGAAACATTCCAGCCAGAACACCCTATGGTGAACCCCATAGTCTGCAAGACCCACTCATTTATTCAAAGATTCCAAAAAGCTTTTTAATACCCCATTCTTAACTACAAAGGCTCAAAGATCATCAAACATGTGAGAAATGTCTCCAATAGGACAGACAGAGGCAAAACAGAGAGGGGAAAGATAGCTTGGCAGGTATGGCTGGACAAGGCACAGTAAGTACACTCAGTGCCTGCTCCTCCAGTCTCTTGTGAACCAGAGGCATTTTCAGTGGGATAAGGATACCTGCATGTATAATTTTACTGAAAATTCATTTGAAAAGCCAGGACCAAGCCTTTGTGATTATGGGTCCATAAAAGCCTATGCAGGCATTTTCAGTTGCTTGCTTCACATCACCCCACATTCACAGGAGAAAACAAATTAAAAGGGGGAAAAAAATTCTAAGACAAGATAACAACCAAAGAGCAAGTAAAGGAAATCCAGAAAAAAATGATAAAAAGAAAAATAGAAGATGAAAATCATCTACAAAACAAATTCAAGAAAGATGGCTAAACCTGATGGACATTGGTTTCCATGCTGAAATTACCCACTGAGAACACAGTGCAGTAAGTGATAAAAGACCTACACCAAATACATCATCAGGAAAACATGGAGGGCTGGGAACCAAGACAGCATCCTACAAATTCACTGAAGATGAAAAGTACAGGCTATTAGACACGCAATTAGAACAGTTTTTTAGTTTCTTCAAGAGTAACATTGGCCAGGTACGATGGCTCACTCCTACAATCCTTAGTTATTCTTGGAGGCAGAAATGGGAGTTGTGGCCCAAGACAAAATTAAAGGCCCTTTCACAAAAAGCAACTAGAAAACATGCTGTGCCAAAATTAAGGTAGTAACTCAAGAAAGGGAATGTGGGATAAAAGTAAAGGGAAATATCAAGAGAAAGGTCTCATTATCATAACGTACTATTATCATACAGAATCAAACTTAAAATCCCAAAACCAAAAAGTTAGCAAAAAAATTTCCTGACCATTTTACTAGTTAACTTTTTCTTTTTAGTGGTACCGGGTTGACACTCAGGGACTTGCACTTGCTAGGAGCACTCCCACTTCAGCCATGCCTCCAGCCTTCTTGCTTTAGTTATTTCTGATAGGAGTCACATTTGCCAGCACAGGCTCAGACCACAATACTCCTACCTAATACATCCCAGGTAGATGGACAAGGTTAAGCCACCATGCCAGCATACTGACTGAGGGGGTCTTGCTAACTTTTTGCGCCGAGCTCCTCAACAGCAATTCTTTTGATCTCCACCTGCCAAATAGCGGATAACAAGCATGACCATTATTTCCGCCCCTTATGTACTTTTTCAAATATCTACCTACGCACTAACTGTGCACTGTCATGTCTCGGGTGTTATAAAAAACCTTTCCCACTGTACAGTTCCCAGCACTTCTCCGCACCTCCAGCCGTACTGATCAGGTTTCCATTGTCCAGATTCCAGCCCAACAGCATCAATTGGATATTCAACATAAATACATCTGGAGGAAAAGAGAAATAAATGTGAAGAGCCATTAAAGAATCAGAAAAATTTTAACTCAATGCAGTAACATAACTGCTTAAATTAAAATAAGACCCTCCTTCCAAAAATCTTCATATCAATTTCACTTTGACTTACAAAATAATAATAAGATTCAACTTCTACCTCCCATCCTAAAATCTCACAAACTCTGGAAATTAAAAGTTTGGGGTAAATTTCATTCCAAAACTTGCCCTGAAGTAGTTCAAGGCTATTTATCCCACTGTTATGGTTGGATCTTGCACGTGCCCAAAGACCTTTATGATAAAGACTTTGTCCAGGTGATATTGTTACCAGGTGGTGGACCTTTAGAAGTAGAGCTAGTAGATCTCAAGTCATGGGGTTGTCCTTGAAAGATACTGTGGATCTATCCCCTTTTCTCTTCCTCTCTTTCCTTTTTGGCCATGAGGTAAGCAGTTTTGCTTTGCCATACACTCTCCTCCATGATAAGTTACCTCACCACAGGCCCAAAACAAAAGGGCCAATCAATCATGAACTGAAGCTTCCCAAACATGAATCAAAATTAACCTTTTCTCTTTATAAGTTGATATTCACTATTTTGTATAGTGATGAAAGCTGACTAAGCACACGTGTGCCACATGTGCAGGCATGCGCATAGACTACAGAAACATTCATACTTTCATATAGAAATATCAGTGAGTTCATCAAGGTGCTCTCCATTATATATGAGATTATGTATACATAGTGAATATAAAACCTTTTAAACTTCTATCTAAAATTCTATTAAAGGTTACCAAGTTTCAAAGGATCATGGAACTCGTATCTAGTCATCGAGATCATGGTGTGAGTGAGTAAATAGGTAATAAATATAAACCTCTTAACTACTTTTAGCCAATTATAAGTACTCAATAAAATGCTCTCATCACTATCATTGACAATGATGCCTGGTGTTACAGATCAAGAAAGAATTCTTTGGACAAAACCGTCTTATGTAACTGGTATCTAATTCTTTATATCTCCATGAATGAACTCACTATCTCAAACCCAATCATTCTCTCTGCTCCTCTCTCTTTGTCTCTCTCTCTCTCTCTCTCTCTCTCCTCTCTCTCTCTCTCTCTCCACACCACCACAACACACACACACACACACAATTAATGTCATATCACAGTTTCAGGGTAGAGTCAAACTTTATTAAAAATAAGATTGTCTCAAAAATTCCAGTCCTTTTCAAAACAAGTACTTAGACATCTACTCTAAATAAGGGAGTGCTAATATGAATGTCTTGCTTTTCTCAAAGTCTTTCTATACTTATACTCCTTCCACATTAAAAAAAGTACCAAACTAGAAAGTAATCTCTAGAGTGAGTCATTTAGGCCTGATAGAATCAGAGTTTTAATAAGCGATTTTTTAAATTCTGCCTGAGTTCTGAAGAATGAACAAAACTAGCCAAAAGGAAATACAGCTTACACTGTCAAGTAGCTTTCTAAATCGAGATCATCTCTTCTCTCACAGCAGTCTTTTCTCCCATCATTCATACGGAAAGCACGAAGGAAAATATGTAATCACCAAATAATTTAAAAATAAATATTTATATCTTATAATTGACGCTAAAAATTCAAATACTCCTCTGAACTAAAAACTGAGGTGTTAGACTACAACATTCAACATTAGTGAATCTAAGGGTACATTTTTAGTGATAATGTAGAAAGAAAACAGGAAAGAAAAGAAAATAGCACAATAATAATGACGAAAAATTCACTGAAGTCTTCAACTTTTTTCAAATGAGTAAAACTTTAAAAGGAGTTTTCTCCTTCATGTTCTTTTATTTATCTTAATGCAAAATATTTTCAAGCATTTCACAAAGGTATGTTTAAGACCCAAATGTTCTGATAAATGGAATAACCAGTGTAATGTATTCCCAACCTTTTACTTTTTTAGACTAATGACATTACCAAACCATTATAAACTCAGAGTTAAGTAAAATGAGAGATTAACTGATACCACTAATTAAAAAATTATATGTAAAGTACTGACCTATTAAGTCAAATATTAATATGACTCACTCTTCTTTGAGACCTGCTAAATCTCAATGTCTATCTTAACATTATTTTTATATAATGTATCCAAGATTGGCCTAGAGGGTAGGAAGCGAAACGACCTCCTATAGTGAATCTGAGAGACGCTGGAGACACACTTTGCAGGCTAATCACCGAGAAAAGCATAACTATTGACCTCCACATCTCAGCGGCGCAGAGATCTACATTCACGTTAAACGAGAACCGAGAGGCCCCGGGCCGCCAGTGCCGGCGCCCATACGGCTTGGGAAGACAGGGACCAGTGGCTTCGCGTACCCGGTTCCCCACAGACACCTGGGCCAGAGCAGCATAGCCCCTGCACGACACTACCCCCCGGGAAAAAAGAGAACTGGTATTACTAAGCAATCAAGAACAGTTAGACGCTGGAAAGAGGGTGGGCCCTGCTGCTGAAGATTGGGGAGGGAATCCTTCCGGGACTGTAAATAACGACGGCGGGCGGAGAGCTCTGGCGGGAAGCGGGCCCCAGCAACCAGGAGCAGGAAGTTGAGAGGAGAAGACCCTTCCCAACGTGAACTGTAAATAAACACGCAGGCCTGACAACGCGGCAGTGTCGCCTTTCCCAGTGCTTGGAAAGGGAAAGCTGTAGCAGGCCCCTCCCGCACAGGAAACTCTGAGCAAACAAACCTGTGGGATCCAGGTGAGTGCTAAGCTCACCAGAGATCTGCATAAATAACGCCAGCTACAGGTGAGAGCAGCAGGCAGGCAAGCCACAGTTGCAGATACCACTCTCAGAACTGCCTCCAGACGCTTTTTTTTTTTTCTCCCTACCTTTGATGAGAGAACAACCGAATTCACCTGCAAGCGAAAAACTTACTGAAACTGTATTGCATTTGAACTGGGACACTTGGTGGGGCTTTTTTTTTTTTTGTTTGTGTGTGTGTGTGAGTGTTTGTTCTACTTTATGCATCCCCTTTGATGAGACAACTACAGAACAACATCTGAGGCACCAACTCCAGGACTGGAGATTGAGACGGACATCCAAATTATTAAGACTGAAATTGCATTGCATATAACTTGGAAGTTTTTGTTTTTTGGTTTTTTTTTTTTTAATTTCTATTTTCCATTTTATTTTAATTCATTTTTATAAATATATACTTTCATATACTTATTTTTTATTTTTTATCTTTGATTTTCAATCCCTCTCTGTCTCTATTGTCTGTTCAGCTTACTGTCGATTAGTACACTAACACTCCCTGTTTATACCTTTGAAACTCTCTTGTCTGATACCTTGTTCTGCTTTCTCCTCTTGTCTGTATATTTGTTTTCCCCTTTTCTTTAACTTCTTGCTTTCCATCTCAGCTCACTCTTCCATTCTCAATATTACCATTGTTATTATTACAAGCTAGAAAATACTTAATTACACACAGTACAGGGACAGTAACAACACCAAGGACAATGACGGAAGACAGAAAAAACAGGAAACCAGTTTCCCACAGCAAAAAATTAGTACAGGAACCAGAGGGGAATGAAGAGAACAGAAACTCAGATCCAGACTCCAACAAAATGAAGATAAACTATGCCAAAGGACCCAATGAAGCCCACAAGAATAATTTAAAAGAAGACATACTACAAGTACTCAATGAGAATTTTATAGAGATGATACTGGATAGGGTCAACCAAAATGTACAGGAGACACTCAAGAAATTCCAAGACAATAAAAATAGAGAATTTGAAAAAGCAAAAGAAGAAATAAAGGAAACCATAGAAGCACTGTATAAACACCAAAGTGAAAGAGAGAACACAATGAATAAATGGATAAATGAACTCAGGACAAAAATAGACAACAATAAGAGAAAACAGCCAGGATATGGAAACCTCAGAAAAAGAACGAAACAGAACTGCAAAACAAAACGGAAGGCCAATCCAGCAGAATAGAACAAACAGAAGACAGAATCTCAGAACTTGAAGATGAAATGGTAATTAAAGGAAAAACCTGAAGAACTATTAATTAAACAACTCAAGACCTGTGAAAAGAAAATGCAAGAACTCACTGACTCCATCAAAAGACCAAACTTGAGAATCATGGGCATCGAAGAAGGAGAAGAGGTGCAAGCGAAGGGAATGCGTAATATATTCAACAAAATAATAACGGAAAATTTCCCAAATCTAGAGAAAGATATTCCCATACAAATGCAAGAGGCCTCCAGGACACCAAACAGACCAGATCAAAATAGAACTACTCACACATATCATCATAAAACAACAAGTTCAGAAACTAAGGAAAGAATATTGAAGGCTGAAGAGAGAAAAAACAATAACATACAAAGGTAAACCCATCAAAATCACAGCAGACTTCTCAACAGAAACATTAAAAGCAAGAAGAGCGTGGGGTGAGATCTTCCGGGCACTGAATGAAAATAACTTCAACCCCAGGATACTCTACCCAGCAAAGCTATCATTCAAAATAGATGGAGCAATAAAAGTCTTCCATGATAAGCAGAAACTAAAACAATATGTGACCACAAAGCCACCATTACAAAAGATTTGCAAGGGATCTGCACACAGAAAGTGACCCAACTTAACCATGAAAAGGCAGCAGCACCAAACACAGGATAAGAAAAAGCAAAAGTAGAGAGTAACATCAAGTTAGGTACACACAATCAAACCTTCAAACAACTAAGACAACTAAATGGCAGGAATCACCACATACCTATCAGTACTAACACTTAATGTTAATGGACTTAATTCACCCATCAAAAGACACCGTTTGACAAATGGATTAAAAAAGAAGATCCAACAATTTGTTGCTTACAGGAGACTCATCTCACGACAGAAATAAGCATGCTTAGGATGAAAGGCTGGAAGAAGATTTACCAACCAATGGCCCCCGAAAAAAGCAGGAGTAGCAATACTTATCTCTGACAAAGTAGACTTCAAACCTACATTGATCAAACGAGATAAAGAAGGACATTCCATACTAAAAAAGGGAAATAGACCAAAAGGAAATAATAATCATCAATCTGTATGCACCCAATGTCAACGCACCCAATTTCATCAAACATACCCTGAAAGACCTAAAAGCATATATAAACGCCAACACAGTGGTTGTGGGAGACTTTAACACTCCATTATCATCAATAGATAGGTCATCCAAACAAAAACTCAATAAAGAAATCCAAGATCTAAAATATGCAATAGATCAATGGACCTAGTAGATGTCTACAGAACATTTCATCCAACTCTACACAATATACATTCTTCTCAGCAGCCCATGGAACCTTCTCCAAAATAGATCATATCCTAGGGCACAAAGCAAGCCTCAGCAAATATAAGAAATAGAAATATACCATGCATACTATCTGACCACAATGCAGTAAAAGTAGAACTCAACAACAAAAGTAAAGACAAAAAACATGCAAACAGCGAAACTAAATAACTCATTACTTAATGAAGAATGGATCATCGATGCAATAAAAGAGGAAATTAAAAAGTTCCTGGAAGTCAATGAAAATGAAAACACAACCTACCAGAACCTATGGGACACAGCTAAGGCAGTCTGAGAGGAAAGTTTATAGCCATGAGTGCATATATTAAAAAGACTGAAAGATCCCAAATCAATGACCTAATGATACATCTCAAACTCCTAGAAAAACAAGAACAAGCAAATCCCAAAACAAATAAAGAGAAAATATAAAAATAAGAGCTGAAATCAACGAAATAGAAACCAAAAAAAACCATACAAGAATTAATGAAACAAAAAGTTGGTTCTTTGAAAAAATAAACAAGATCGATAGACCCCTGGCAAACCTGACTAAAATGAGGAGAGAAAAAACCCAAATTAGTAGAATCAGGAATGCAAAAGGGAGATAACAACAAACACCATGGAAGTCCAGGAAATCATCAGAGACTACTTTGAGAACCTATATTCAAATAAATTTGAAAATCTAAAAGAAATGACAGATTTCTAGATACATATGATCATCCAAAACTGAACCAAGAGGAAATTAATCACCTGAATAGACCTATAACACAAAATGAAATTGAAGCAGCAATCAAGAGTCTCCCCAAAAAGAAAAGTCCAGGACCTGATGGATTCTCTGCTGAATTCTATCAGACCTTTAAAGAAGAACTGATACCAACCCTCCTTAAACTGTTCCATGAAATAGAAAGGGAAGGAAAACTGCCAAACACATTTTATGAAGCCAGTATTACACTTATCCCAAAACCAGGCAAAGACACCTCCAAAAAGGAGAACTATAGGCCAATCTCCTTAATGAACATTGATGCAAAAATCCTCAACAAAATAATGGCAAACCGAATTCAGCAACACATCAAAAAGATTATTCACCACGACCAGTAGGCTTCATCCCAGGGATGCAGGGGTGGTTCAACATATGAAAATCAATAAACGTAATAAACCACATTAACAGAAGCAAAGACAAAAACCACTTGATCATCTCAATAGATGCAGAAAAAGCCTTTGACAAGATCCAACATCATTTCATGATAAAAGCTCTAAGAAAACTAGGAATAGAAGGGAAGTTCCTCAACATTATAAAAGCTATATATGACAAACCTACAGCCAGCATTATACTTAATGGAGAAAAACTAAAACCATTCCCTCTAAAATCAGGAACCAGACAAGGATGCCCACTATCTCCATCCTATTCAACATAGTACTGGAATTCCTAGCCAGAGCAATTAGGCAAGAAGAAGGAATAAAAGGAATACAAATAGGTAAAGAAACTGTCAAAATATCCCTCTTTGCAGACGACATGATCCTATACCTTAAAGACCCAAAAAACTCTACTCAGAAGCTTCTAGACATCATCAATAGCTATAGCAAGGTAGCAGGATATAAAATCAACATAGAAAAATCATTAGCATTTCTATACACTAACAATGAGCAAACTGAAAAAGAATGTATGAAAACAATTCCATTTACAATAGCCTCAAAAAAAATCAAATACCTAGGTGTAAACCTAACAAAAGATGTGAAAGACCTCTACAAGGAAAACTATACACTTCTGAAGAAAGAGATTGAGGAAGACTATAGAAAGTGGAGAGATCTCCCATGCTCATGGATTGGTAGAATCAACATAGTAAAAATGTCATACTCCCAAAAGTAATCTACATGTTTAATGCAATTCCCATCAAAATTCCAATGACATTCATTAAAGAGATTGAAAAATCTACTGTTAAATTTATATGGAAACACAAGAGCCACGAATAGCCAAGGCAATACTCAGTCAAAAGAACAATGCAGGAGGTATCACAATACCTGACTTCAAACTATATTACAAAGCAATATAATAAAAAACAGCATGGTACTG